GAAGCTGAATGCCTCTGCCCACGACGAGTTACTGTGCTCCACGAGGCTGATTGGTCGTCTCTCTCCAAGCACAAGCCCCATGCCTGATGTGCTCGCCAGGTAGCGCACAACCCTCTTAACGGCCTCCCAGTAGGCAGGACGGTGTCTCTCGGGTGCAACAAAGCGAGCTAGAACGCTGAGACGGTATGCAAGAACTGGACGAGTACAGGTCATCAGGTAAATGAGGCATCCCACCAGCTCTATGTAGTGACCACTAGACTTAGCAAACTCGTCAGGAACAGGATTTGTGGTCTTGTGATCGACTGCAAGCGGAATGGTCTGTAGAGAGAAGAAGCACTAGTGGAACCACTCGAAGATATGCTGCACCATGTGCAATTGGGACTGTATAATGATCCACGCTGCTCTGTCCTGGGTAATCTGCAAGCCAATGTAAAGATGCAACTCACCCATGCCAGTGCAAGTGTGTTTCCTCTGCAGCTCGGCCTTCACTGAGGCCAGTGCACCTCTGTAAGCTGTGAAGATGTGGTTGTTGACGTACACCAGGATGTATAAGGGGGTACGACCAGAATGGATGAAGAGAGAAGGGTCAGCAGAGGACGGAGCTGAGACCAGTGCAGCTCTGCCAGGCGTATCGAAGATGAGGTCGTCAATGTAAACAAGAACGTAGAACAACACGGAGCCTTGAACGGACAAAGAGAGACAGGCCAGAAGAAGACGGAGAGAAGCCAAGAGACCTAAGAGTAGTGCGCACCGTATCGTGCCACTCGCGAGGTGCCTGACGCAGGCCGTAGACTGGCTGCCGGAGACTCCACTAGGTGTCAGGTGGAAAGGACCCAGTGAATCAGGCAGGCGGCACAGCGAGATCTGCTCGGGCGGTAAAAACACTGTAAAAAAGTTCAGTGAGCGAAGCTCGTAGTCACACTGTGCTGCTACGTGCAGTAGTACCTAAAGAGTAGTCATCTTCGGGGTAGGGGAGAAGGTCTCGAAGAAGTATACCCCCTCTCGCTGACTAAAGCCTCTCGCCACGTAACGCGCCTTGAAGACAAGCGAAGATATAGGCGGCAGCTTCACCTTGAAGATCCACATGTGAGGCGGACAGATGTGAATGCAAATGATGGCATCACACAATAGGGAGAGGGATGACGGACGCAGGGAGACCTTTGACAAGACGGTGGTGTGCCATCTAATGAAGACGCGGGAAGGAGGGGTGACCTAGGCGGTAGTGCCACAGGAGTGACGGGTGGGTGAGTGACCGACATTGGCAAGACGCAGCTACCTGACCTGACCTTCAAGACTGGGGGGACGAGGAACGCAGTGTGAAGAGACCTGACATAGGCTCCCAGGAGAATATGGCAAGCAGCGGCCTGGTGGTAGCGTCCTTACATACTGCAAACGGCTCGTGCGCATGAAACGTGGAGGTCCTGAAGATGGCCGACATTCACCAAGTTCCTGGAGAATGAGGAGGGGTGCAGACCTTAGAGGGAACCTGAGGGGACTGCCAGACACGGGAATGCAATAGTGTTGTGTACAACAACCTGGCCTGAGGAGCTATCGGCAAAGGCAACTGGGACTGGAGCCCGAAGCGGAGCGAGGGTTGTGTGGTCGCGGAAGAAGCACTGGTACGTGCCGGAGTCAAGCGTGAAGGAGAGTGACGCGTCAGCGATCGTCATACTTGAACTAGCAACAACAGGATCCTACACTAGAAATAGCTACGGATCCTAGCCTAGCTTTAGACGAATAATAAGAACAAGCAGCACTAGAGTCATCAGGATACAAGACAGGGGCAGAATACAAAGTAGCATGCAAAACCAGACATGTCCATAGTCTAGGCGGAGCAATGAAGCCCCGGCGGAGCAGAGAAGCCCAGTGCGGGGCGGGTGCGTCAAATCCGAAACGCTGGTACTAGAGGTTGATGAGGCGGCCATATCACCGGTCAGCAGAGTGAGCACGCCCGCATGCCTGACCGAGGCGCGAACCGATCAGCAGCACGTACGGTCAAGGTTGGGCAGGACCCCACTGTTGCTGAGGGACCCGCAGCCGAGGCTGCTGTGGGTTCTGCGGAGAGTCACTCTACAACGGTAGTAAGCTAGACTACGGGGGTTGGCACGAACTACTAGAGGTGATCGTAGCTTTGCTTGGTTCCTTAGTGCTTGCTCATTCACGGGAGAAATCGGCAAGAGTTTCCACTAGGCAAAGTCGAAATTACAGAATAATTGAACAAGCAATGACAACAATGACTACATCAGGCACCTAGCAACCCTGCAGCTAGCCTGGTCGACCGCCAGCACAGCTCGGTCGACCGCCTGCCAGCGTTGCGTAGAGGAGCCGCGCCAGCACTGCAGAAGGGCGACCTGCCAACAGAGCAGGTCAACGGCGTGCCAACGCTGCAGCAGAGCGGCTGTCCAGTGTTGCCCCGTAGAACACAGCAGTGCGCACGCTCGCAGGTGCGCGCAGACGATTGGCCCGACTTGCCTCGTTGGGCATCCGTCGGCTGTTGTCTTCGCCTGACGAGCCACATCGACTTCGGGATACCAGCCCGCAGTCACCTGCGCCATCGCGACCTCGACGACGTTCGCGTGCCTCCGCAGAACTCGTCGAGCAGGTTACCCGGTCGACCCGGTCGACCACCAGGTGCTTCCGGTCGACCACCACTGCTTCTGGTCGACCACCAGGTCCCTCTGGTCGACCACCAGGTGCCTCTGGTCGACCACAACTCCCGTCGAGCTACCCCCTGGTCGACGGACCCCTTCCGTCGACCAGAACCGTCAGCGGTTGTCGCCGAGCTCCCCTCGTCGACCGCTGCTCACTTGTCAGGTCGACAAACTGCTCCGTCGATCTCCCGGTCGAACTGCAGGTCAACGGGATGCCCCGGAGACCTCCCGGTCGAGCTGTAGGTCGACGGGATGCTCCGGAGACCTTCCGGTCGAGCTGCAGGTCGACGGAATGCTCCGGAGACCTCCCGGTCGAGCTGCAGGTCGACGGAATGCTCCGGAGACCAGTCTGTTGCAGCTGTCGAGCTCCCTGGTCGACAGCAACACCACAGCGGTCCCCTGCAGCTCGACGAAGCTTGTCGAGCAGCTCTCCCACTGTGAATGGTCGGCTGCTACTCCCGTACATCCGACCAAGTCGTCGGCGTTGCCCAAGCGAGGGCGGGGCCAACACTCCATTCCCGTTAACAGGTTCTGCTACTGAACCTGCCGCTGTTGCTGCTATTGATGCTGCGTCGACATAGTGAGTAATACTGGGAAAAAACGGCTACAACAGGAGGGGCAGGCGTAAGTACGGGCAGTAGTGGGGGGGAGCAGTGGTAGTACGGGTAGCAGTACGTGCGGCAATACGGGCGGCAGTACGTGCGGCAGTACGGGCAGTGGTACTGGCGGCAGCACGGGCGGCGGTATGGGCAGTGGTACGGACAGCAGTACGGGCAACAAGATGGGCAGTGTTACTAATGGAAGTACGAGCGATAGTATGGGCGGCAGTACGTGCGGCAGTACGGGCAGTGGTACTGGCGGCATCACGGGCGGCAGCACGGGCAGCAGTACGGGCAGTGGTACGGACGGTAGTACGGGCAACAGTATGGGCAGTGTTACTAACGGAAGTACGAGCAGTAGTATGGGCGGCAGTACAGGCAGTAGTACGGACGGCAGTACGGACAGTGGTACGGGCGACAGTATGGCTGGAAGTAGATGTTGGAAATGGCAGGTCGCTAGAGCGCAGCGGAAAGCTCTAGGAAATTAATGACGACCCTGAAGTGGGGCTATGGTTACTTAGAGGTAGCTCTCCTGGCTTGTAATGTGGTGCCAAAGCTCTGAGGGTTTGCCGGATACAAGTGTGAGAATTGTGTAATAAGAACAATGTAATACATCGAGTTACATAACGAACACATAGGGCAGGCAGTTACCGTGGCGCAATTGTATAACAGTTGCGTTGCAACGCTTGGGTTGCCCTGTTACAGTCGCGATTGCGTGACTGTTCGGCTTCAGCAAGCGCGCGGTATTCGGCCGCGCCCTGCAGGGCGGTTATGTGTGCAGTACACGCTGACCACTGTAATCTCGACTCTTCAGCTGCCACGAAGGTCGCAACCGCTATTCGCGGTTGCGCCCCTTTAGCTCGCCACTAAAGACAAGATTCGCGATATGGCGAGCCCCATTAGTACACTTCAAACAGTGCACTTGAAAATAAAAAGCGTACAAACATATTTGCAACAGTACAAGCTAGAGTATGGCAGTAGTGCGGACGGTACTATTGGCAGCATTATGGGCAGTATTACGGACGGCGGTACGGACAGTGGTATGGACGAAAGTACGGCCGCTAGAAGAAGCTATAGTACGGGCAATATTACGGATTGTAGTACGGGCGGCAATACGGCAAGCAGGACGAGCGGCAGTACGGCAAGCAGTATGGGCGGCAGTGGGTGGCAGTACAGGCAGCTATAGTGGTACGAGCGGCAATGGGCAGCACGGGCCGTAGCACTGGCACGAGCATCAGAAGGTAGTACAGGCTGCTGTAGTGGCACGGGTGGCTAAGGTGGAACATGCATCTAAAGAAGGTGCAGTTGCTGGGGCGCGCTGCTTCTAACGTTTGCTGTTGCTAGCGCATGTGTTGCAGCAGTGCGCGCCGTAGCTGCAGGTGCTCTGGGGTGGAAGCAGCGGCAGCTCTAGTGCGCTGCTGTTGATGGTGCTACTGGCGCTGCTGCTTGCGTGTGCTGCTGCTAGCAGGTTGCGGGTTACCAGCCAAGCAGGGTGGTTTGGGCGCGAGGGTCGTGGTGGCGGGAACAATGTCGAGGCAAGTGTCGCAAAGTGGTAATGTGCCACTGTTGGGTGTACAATGGCGGGAAATAGTCCTGTACGTGGTAGCCCCATATTCTACACTATGATGGAGGAGTTCAGTTAATGAAGCTAGCATAAGTGTATGTTAGCGCTTACGCAGGGGCCTTCTTCCCCGCTGCCATCGACCGCCTGCACGCCGAGACCAGCGTCGTGGACGAGGCTGTGCCCGTCATGGCGTCCGTGCCGCCTAAATGGAAGACGCAGCTCGCGCAGGGCATGCCGCTCAGCGCCACACAGGTGTGCCCTCACCCCTGGCCACAAGTGAGCCTTGCACCCTTCTCCTTCTCTCTGTTCTAATCCCTTCCCATGCGTATGCATCCCTGTGCTTCCCTCAGGCCATCATAGTGCGCAGCAGCGAGGAGAAGCATCGCCTCTTGGCGCTGTTTGCTGCAAAGCCGGTGGTGCTGACTGTGGAGGAGTGCAAGGGGCTCGAGTTCTAGGTGGGCACATGCCATGTTGCTTGACCTGCAATGCGGGTGCGGCGTGCTCAAGTGCAGGGTGCTAGTAGTGAATGAGTGGTGGAGGAGAGGCAGTGCTCACAAAGTATCGAGGCACGGACGTTGAGAAAAGTAGAGCAATCTACTTCTTTTTTGATTTTGTAGCATCACCATGCGTGCGTGTCGCATCAACTTGCATGCATGTCTCCACTGCTGCACCCACAGCTGCCTCTCCTCCACCACATACCACACCATCTTGTCCACTCAACCTATCCTCTCTAAGACCTTCCCTCGTCCAATGCACAGGATGTGATTCTCTTCAACTTCTTCACCTCGCCGCATTCCACCACCCCTTGGGCGCTCATCTACACGTACATGCGTGATGCTGGCCTGGCATCTGCCGGGCTGTCCCGCTGCACCTGTGCTACCAGCAGCCGCAGCGTCAACAATAGCTGTTCCTGTGGGAAGGGTCAGCAGCAGCTGCTTCGATTCGACGAGCTCAAGTGAGTCCCGCTCGCTGCTGTTGCTGCCAATGCTGCTCGCAGATTGAGCTGTGCCAAAGGTTTCTATATGCTCTGTGTGTGTGCGCGCTTGCCCGTTGCCGTGCAGGCACTGTGCGCTGTGTGTGGAGCTGAAGCACCTATACGTGGCAGTGACACGCACCAAGCAGAGGCTTTGGGTGCTGGACGAGGACAGGGCAGGCGGTGGTGATGGTGACGCCAGCAGCAGGGCGTGGGAAGTGGGCACCAGTGCGCCCATGAGGGCCCTGTGGCACGCCCTGGGTGTGGTGGCGGTGCGGCGGGGCAGCGAGGTGACGCCGGAGTCGGTGAAGCGCGAGCCAGATGAGGACGACTTGCACACCCTTGCCTTCACTGTCAGTGCCCTACGCTCTGGCTTGCGCCCATGCTCCCCTGGCCTCTCCATTCATGCAATCTGGCCTGGCTTGCCTACTGTGCTGCTGCAACCTTACCTCCCCAACTCACACTCAAGTCATTCACCTTGATTCTTTGTTTCTCAACCTTCCTTCTCACCAGCTCGCAGTTCTTCCAGAGGGGGGACTACGAGGCAGCATAGACAAGCTACGAGCGAGCAGGAGACATGGACAGTCCGTGATTCGCCCACGCCATGCTTCTCTACGATACTGCCCTGGCCCGCATGAAGCCACACGCTGCCATGTCCTCCCTGCCGCCCGCCTCACACCATGCACCTGGGCCTCTGTTGCCGCCAGCGGTGCTGCCAGCTGTGGCGCGCACCCTGTTTGAGCGCAGCCCCCCTGAGCTGTTGCTGGAGGCGGCTCGCACGCTTGAGGAGATTGGACGGAACGCAGAGGCAGGGCACGCATACGTGAAGGCGAGGAACTACGTGGAGGCAGGTACAAGACGGTGGGTGGGAGGGAGGGCTCCTGGATGGGATGGGTATGTAAAGAGTGTTTGGGGAAGCATTGTGCGAGTGGGCTCTTTGCCAGGGTGGGAGTGTCGCACACTCCTACTCATGCTCGTGCTCCCCCTTCCTCGCTTGCGGTTGCTCTCCCCCTGTGCCCGCCCTGCAAGTGCGAGTCTACCTGCATGCATGCCGGCCCCCGAAGCACATCGACGCTCCGCACTTCAACGAGAAGCTGTGGCGGTTCGCGGAAGTGTCTGATTGGTACAGTGCCAGCGACGACATGCACAGTGCTCTCCTCGTGTACCTGCGAGCTCGCATCTTCCACAAGGGCCTATCCTTTCTCGACACCTGGCAGTAGCCGCCTGCATCCACATCAGCAGCAGCAGTGCAGGGGGCGCAGTGGGTGGTTCAGCTGAGAGGGTGGTACGTGGTGGAGTGTGCGCTGATGAAGGCCTTAGTTGGCCGAAACGCATTCGCACGCGACTTCTGGGCCTAATGTGTCTGGCATTCTGAACAGACCTTTGCTTACTACTTCCCTCTTTTTCCATAATAGTAGACTAGTACTATAGATCGCCACTCTTAGTAGGCATAATGGCCTCTATTCGTCTGCACCACTGCCTTCCCACCAAGTCGGCATTTCTGGAGGCAGGGCAGCATCTGAGGCAGCTGGTGGCGCTGGAGGACGAGCAGGGCGTCAGCAGCCGCGTGGCAGGGCTGCTGGAGAGAGCAGGCGCGCTGCTAGAGGCGGCGCAGTACTCGTGGCAGCAGGGCTCTCCTGGGCGCGCACTCGTGTGCTTCGTGCACCACTTGCACTGCCGCTTGAAAGCCGTCGGGCGAGGGGCATTGCGGGTGCAAATGAGGAAACGGGCAGGGGAGGCGGAGAGCTCTGGGGGCGGCGTTGAGGTGAGCGCAGAGGAGGTTGAGATGGCGGAGAGGCTGTGGGCGGTGGAGCGGTGGGGCTTTGCTGAGAGGGACGCGTATGAGGCGAGCGACCTGGCATGGGTGAGGGTGGAGATGAGCGTGCTGCTGTTGGTGATGGCCCATGATGTTCATCTTGACACACACGACTCTGCTGCTGGTGGTGATGGCCCATGATGTTCATCTTGACACACACGACTCTGCTGCTGTTGGTGCTGGCCCATGATGTTCATCTTGACACACACGACTCTGCTGCTGTTGGTGATGGCCCATGATGTTCATCTTGACACACACGACTCTGCTGCTGTTGGTGCTGGCCCATGATGTTCATCTTGACACACACAACTCTGCTGCTGTTGGTGCTGGCCCATGATGTTCATTTTCACACACACGACTCTACTGCTGTGAGACGGGATGATGGTGATGCCTGCCAAGGAGCAGTGGGTGCCGGGCTCGGTGGAGAGGGGGCGGCAGTGCAATGCACGGCGGATGGTGATGCGGCGAGGGCTAGGGATGTGGAATTGGAGGCGCGCTTGTCCCGCGCGTGGATGGCTGTAAGACAGGGGTACGCCGTTCCAGCAGATGTTGTAGAGAATCGCACGAGCGCGGCTGGTGCAAAGGTAGGGGGTGTCGATAACAGTGGTGGTAGAGGTGGGAAGGGCAGGTGAGATGGGGCGATTGGGGAAAATTCCCTCTCTATAGGAACCCAACTTTCACCCTTGTCATTTTCCCAACCTCTCAAATCCACCTCACCCAAATTGGCCAAACTTGCCAACCTGCTTTGGCTTCTCCCAACCACTTGGCAGCAACTATAGTGAAAGTGACGAATGTTTCCCAGACCAATGGTCTTTACCCTTCATACAGTCACCCCACAAATTCCCAAAGTCGCCGCAACGAAATATCAAAAGCATACCAACTTCGATTGCTCATAGCGTTCTCGTTCTTGCTCCGATTGAAGCGGCCCTTGGTTCGTCGGAAAGCTCTTGAGCAGAGAAGTCATCTCAAATATCTGCTCAAACAAAATAAAATTCACACACACACTCACAAAGTCCAAACCATGCCAAACACAAATTCTTACGCACGCACACACGAACGTGAGCCAGAGAACCCCTGACGCGGTAGTCAGCTGCTACTCCCCGAAAACATATCCAAAGGTAGACCGGCGTCACCCGTGGCCGTGCGTCACTGGGCCACATGTTCAGCTGGTGTGCGGCGTAGCAGACTGGCTATGGCCACAGGAACTCGGGGGCACTGGCATGGCACATGGAGGTCCGGGCAACCTCCATGACTAGGTTGACGCGCCGCTCAGCGACCCTGTTCTGCTGTGGCGAGTGTGGTAGCGTGTAAGGGTGATCCCCTCACCCTGAGAGAACACCTCCAGGCGAGTGGAAGCAAACTCGCCACCAAAGTCCAAGTGTAGCCGAAAGGCCATGGGTGCCACCCCTCGCTAGTAGCCATGGCTCGAGGACGGTAGGCACTTCGGCCTTCCGTCGCAAGGGAACAGGGTTTAGGGTCTGTGCAGGAGGCAACTGGCTAGTCCGTAGGAAACGTGGTGACTATTCCGAGGTTGTGGAGGTGGCTGACACCCACCAAGTTCCTGGAGAATGAGGGGGTGTAGTAACCTGTGAGGACCCCAGAGGGAGCCGCCGGACACGGGAGAGTGGTGGTGTTGTGGGCAACCACCTGTCCCACTGAGGGGTCAGCCAAGGCGACAGTGACTAGAGCGCGTGTCAAACTATGATTTCTATGGTTTGTATGTTATAGTCTATGTGTGTTGTATTTGTGCTAGGGTTAGGGTGAACCTTGCCTATATCTATCTTGTTTGTTCATTGTTAGTCTAGTCATTCTTCCGTTCATTTCTTGACATGGTATAGAGCTAGGTTCGTTCCCATGGGCCCACCACCCCGTGCCTCGCTCGTCGTTTGTAGCCCGCAGATCGTGCCACGCCCGTTCGTTAGTGCCCCGTGCCTCGTTAGATCGCGCCCGCGCCGCCCGCCAGTCCGCGTTCGCTCGTACCCTGTTCGTTAGCAAACCGTACCCGCCTGTTAGCGCCACGTACCCTACCCGTTCGCGCCCCGTCCGTCAGCGCCCCGCACCCGCCCGTTAACCTCCCGGACCCCGCCCGTTAACCTCCCGTACCCCGCCCGTTAGCACCCCGTACCCTACTCGTTCGCGCATCGTCCGTCAGCGCCCCGTACCCCGCCCGTGAGCACCCCGTATCCCGTCCGTTAGCGCCCCGTACCCCGCCCGTTCGCGCCCCGTTCGTTCAATGTCTGCACCTCGCTCGTGCCCCATTAGATCGCGCCAGAGCTGCCCGCCTGTCCGCGCCCGCTCGTATCCCGTCCGTTAGCGCCCCGTCTCCCGCCCGTTCGCGCCCTGCGCCCTGCATGTACGCATACCGCCACCCGCACGTCGCCCGCACCCGCACGCACGTATGCGTACACAGCCGCACACACAAAGCCGCACGTGCAAGCGCACGCAGCGGCGCGCCCGCCCGTAACCCTAACCCGCCCGTAACCCTAATCCGCTCGTCCCCGCCTGTTTCCGCCCGTTAACGCCCGTTCGCGCCCGTATCCCGCTCGTTCCCGCCCGATCCCGCCCGTTTTCACCCGTTTCCGTCTGTAGAACCCCCGTTCCCACCCTGTGAGGATCTAGGATCGAGCTCAGAAAAGAGAGTTGTAATTGAATGAATCACCTGGGTACAACACGAGGCTATATATAGGCTCGACACAAGGCCCGGTAACCAGGTGTTACGCGAAGGTTCCGAGGGTCGTGAAGCGTCCCGAACAGACCCTTCCCGAATTTGGTAGAAGGCAATTCGGTGGCAACCGAAAAGCCCAGAATTCGGTGCACGCAACCTAGCTCGGTGCTACAATTATAATAAAATATAGGAAAGCACCTAGCCTAGGAGATCAAGCAATTCATGCATGCATAAAATAAACCTAAGCTAGTAATAGCCGAATAAAGTAAAGGCAAGCAAGCATAGCTGGCATAAGCCGTCGTACTCTCACACGTCCCCCCCTCAAAGCTGGGTGGCGTGAGATACACCCTGCTTGACAAGATAGTCCTTGAGAGCACGGCGTGCGTTGCCCATATCAGCTTCTGCAACCCAACTGTCCTCAGTGGGGTCATATCCCTTCCTGCAGATCAGGAACTCGAGGGTATTGCCGCCGCGGCGCCGATGAGTGAGAACGCGCTCCACTTCGTACTCTGGTTCATCCTGTATGAGCACAGGCGGTGGTGGCGGTAGCTGCCGTCCCTAGAACTGTTGGTTGGGGTCCTTGTAGGGTTTCAGTAGCTGAACATGGAAAGCATTGTGAAGCTTCCATGTATCTGGTAAGCGCAAGCGGAATGTAACTGGTGTCACCTGTGCCTCAACGAGAAAAGGACCGCAGAAGCGAGGCCGGAGTTTGGATGGGAGGTGAGACAGGTTCAAGTTGCGCGTGTCAAGAAGCACCTGATCTCCGACTGCTACTGAGTGATCTCGTCGTTGGCGATCGGCATACTGTTTCTGGGAGTTCTGCATCGTGGTGAGACGTCGCTGAGTCTTCTCCCATAGCTGCTGCATGGTGGTGACGAAGTCATGTGCGGCTTGGACGTGTGCCGGTGTGGTTGGCTGCTGTGGTGTAAGTGGTTCCCGTCCGTAACACAGGAAGAAAGGAGTTTTCCCTGTGGCCGCATGTGACGCGTTGTTGTAAGCGAACTCTAGGGTCGGTAACTGTGTGTCCCAGTAGCTGATGTCGTCTTTGCAAGCTGTGCGCAGAAACTGTTCAACCACTTGATTGAGTCGCTCTGTCTGTCCGTCAGTCTGGGGGTGGTATGCTGAAGTAATTGCAAGCCTAGTCCCCAACAGTCCCATGAGCTCCTTCCAGAACTTACTTGTGAATGTTGGGTCTCTGTCTGATATGAGTGTAGCGGGGATGCCGTGGATGGTGATGATGCGGTCGAAGAAGATGCGAGCAGTTGCTTCAGCTGTAGAAGTGGTGTTGGTCGGGATGAAGTGACCCATTTTAGAGAACTTGTCGATCACCACGAGTATAGTGTCATGCCCTCGTGAGGTCGAAGGAAGTCCCGTGATGAAGTCGAGGCTAACGACCTGCTATGGCTGCTCCGGTACGGGTAGAGGCTGAAGTAATCCTGCTTTTTCTGCTTGCTACTCTTCATCCGCTGGCACATGTCGCACGAGGTGACGAACTGTTGTACGTCTGCTGCCATCCTGGGCCAGTAGTAATACTTCGCTATTCTGCTAACGTCTTGTTGCTCCCGAAATGACCCGCGTACGGTACGTCGTGAAACTCCTCCAGGAGAATCTGTCTGAGCGGGGCATAGTTCGGTACCCAAATCTTTTCTGTGCCCTTCCTTACAGCTAAGTCTTCCTCCCACTGTAACAGCTTCTTAGTCTGTGCTGTAGCGATCTCTGCGTCCATGGAGTACCCATGTTGGAATAGACCCTTGAGCAGAGGGTTCATCCTGTTGAGCTGGATGCCTGCGACATGACCGGGGCGGCTCAACGCGTCTGCCTTGTTGTGTAGCCCGGGCTTGTAGACGATGTCGTAGTGGAAGTGAGTTTCCAGGAAGTCCACCCACCGCACCTGTCGTCGTGAGAGCGTCGGCTGCGACTTCAGGTATTTAAGGCTGCAGTGGTCAGTATAAACTGTAGTCTTGGCTCCCTCTAGGTAACACCTCCACGCCTTGAAGGCTATGACTATCGCTAAGGCTTCCTTGTCATGGATGGGGTAATTCAGTTCTGCTCCGTGTAGCTTCTTACTGAGGTAGGCAATAGGCTGTAAACCGTGTCCGTGATCCTGCATCAGTACTGCTCCGACTACCTGGTCACTAGTGTCTGCTTCCACCACGTAGTCTCTGTCTGGATCCGGTAAGATGAGGACTGGAGCTGTAGTGAGTGCTGTTTGTAACTGCTCCATGGCTTGCTGATGAGGAGTATCCCATTTGTAGGGCGTATCCTTTTTCAGTATGTCTGTCAGTGGCGCTGCTATCTTAGCGTACTGCGGCACGAACCTGTTGTAGTAGTTGGCGAAGCCAAGGAATTGCTGCAACTCCTTCACGTTCTCCGGTACTTTCCACTTCTTGACGGCTTCGATCTTCCGCGGGTCCACGTGTACGCCCTCGGCACTCACCATGTGCCCGAGAAACTGCGCCTTCTTCAGGGCGAAGTC